TGCAAGCCTCATGTGGTTCTTTTTATGTAAAGATGCGATTCTTCAGCTTCACGCACAAATATTAATATAATATGGAAATAAAAACTGAGAAACTTTGTAACTTGCATATTTTGGCTCTTCTGTCTCTAAAGGTTACCGACCCCTAGTTTGTACAATTTGTTAAATGTGTTTTTTGCTATACTAAAATCTATTAAAAATAATTGACTGTTACTGTTAAAATAAATAAAATATGTTTAAAATTTAAACGTGTAAGGTGTATACTAGGATGCAGTGAAACTTAAATTTTTTTAGAAGTCATTTCGCCTGGATTCGCAAAAATGCTTTAGGGAATTATCTTGAGATGCCCCAAGACCTATGAAAATTTAACGAGTCCTTAATTTCATAAAAAAAACTTCTTCAAAAGTCTGTCATGTTGGGTCTCAAATAATGCGAAAACAAAAACTCCAAAAACTATTATAAAAAAAATTATTACTTTTGATTTTGAATTTGAGATCTCCTAAACTAAAAATAAAAAATGTGCTTATTTTTAAGTTATATTTTAGATAAACAATTTTTAATTTGTTTTTTATAAAATAACTATTATTTTAGAAATTTATAATTTCCCTTTATTTGAAAACCATCATAACATACTTTTGAAAAAAAAAATTTAATTTTTTAAGGGACCCGTTAAGTTTTCAAAGGTCTTTGGGCACCTCAAGATAGTTTCATAGAAAATTTATATTTTTCCTGAATAAATCTAATATAAACGGACAACTTATGCGTACCCATGCTAAATGAATTCTAAAAAAAAATTGAAACTTATCTCACCCTAGTGCATGCATTTTTGTGAACCTTTCAATCTTTTTTTTTCGGAGTAATCCTTGTAGTTTTAAACTGAAAATATGTTTTAAAGTTAAAAGTTTAATAACTTTGTTTTCTAAACTTTTTACTTTTATTTACTTTTTGTTTAGACCAAGCATTCGTAATTTTAAATGGTTACGTTCATTTGATATATGTTTATAAGTTAAAATATGAATAAATTTTCTTTTCAAAAACATTTTACTTTTAGAGGTGGGAGAAGGTAAATATATAAGAAAAAAATCTACAAAAATTTGTTGACGTAATTAATGGATAGTCTTTTATGTAAGTCAATATAGCATATTACTTACAAATCAAAGCTACACATCTATTATATCTACGTCGTTATATCTGCGTGGTTAAATCTGCGTTGTTATATCTACGTCGTTATATATACGTTGTTGTCTCAACGCCGTCATGTCTATGTCGAAATCATGCCTTAAGAATAGTGTACAATGAAGAAAAATTCACTCATGCTCAACCTTTATTGGAACAAATGAAAGCACTAAATATTTTTTGAGCAAATATTTAGAAAAATTTTTATGCAGGGCCGACAACACCGAGGAGGGGGGGGGGGGTGGAGGAGGCAGGGGCATGTGCCCTCTCCCACTTTTTTTCTAGAGGGCTTTTCAAAAAGGCACTTCAAAACCCGTGTCGTCAGCCCAATCATTTCTAAATAAAAAGTAGAACTAGTGCTAAAAGCATTTGACGACTTTTTAAAAAAAAACATGAGCAAATACAATACAAGAGCGACATGAAAATTTAAGTTACCATTTGAGACAAAAAAACTCGTATAATTTATGATATCATATCAAGGTCCAAGTTTAAAATACTGTTTAAAAACAATTCACTTATAAATTTAAATAATAAGAACTCTCTAAAAACAAAATTAAATGACATAGTTATTAGATTAAACAATTATAAAGGATTTTTTAAAACTACTTTTATTCAAAACAAAAATATAAATCAAAACCAAAATGAAATCTGAAAGAAAAAATAAAAGAAGAATGACAATAACTTTTAGAAAAAAAAAATTATTAAATGATATACATATCAATTTTAAAGTGAACTGACTTGTTTACTGCACTACTAGTAGTACACTTCTAGTATAAAGATACTTGATGGCAAGACTAATTTCCAGTCTTCCGCGAGCTCCCTATGACTACGTCGCAGCGAGGTTTTAATGCAGGGACGTTTTAAGATAAGGGGCTTTGTGGTACGATCAATAATATCTTTTTCTTGCCCCTGCGATTTGTATTTATATTATGGTTTACGACTTTAATAAATTTATATTGCAAAAAAAAAAAATCGCCATTTTTATTTTTTAATTGACGTTTTAAAAGACGTTTTCATTTTAAGGTGGTTCACCTATATGAAAGTTTCAAATTCCTATTTGAAAACAATATTTTGATTTTTTGAATTTTGATGTTGTGAATTTAATATTTGAAAACAAAAAGAATTTAATTGCTATGATTAAAAACTAATGTAAAAACTTCGATTTTAACCTTTTTACTGTTTACGGAAAGATATATATACTTTTTTTGTTATTTAGGTGCCCCAAGAAGACCAAACGGTCTTGTCACAGAGCACCGCGGAAGTGTATTTAACCAGGAATTCACGCCTCCTTCCTTACCGTGACGCGAAAATATGTCCAATGCTCGTTTCGAACCTGGAACTCTTGCTTATAAAGCAAACGCAATAACCACTGCGCCACGGCTGCAATTAGTCATTTATTGATTATTTTAATGCTGTAAAAAAGAAGTGTTTTTACTTTTGAATAAAAGAGAAATTTTTGGGATGTAAATACTTAAAACATTTGTTTAAGCTGTTTTTATGACGTTGCCCCGTTGCTTTTTATCGACTTTAGTGGTAGGTTTGTTTTGTTTGATGCTTTGGTTAAAAAAAGATTTGTAAAAAAATATTAAATTATATAAAAAAAAGCTTAAATTCTACGTTTTAAAAATATATAATATTAAGAATCGAAAATAGGCGGAAAACACAAAAAAATGAAGTTCAAAAATGTAAAGTTTTGTTTTTTAAGAAATGGAAGTCTTTCGGATCTCTCCTTAACTACGCCGAGTACGCAAATTATTATGTAATATACATTTTTATTACTTGGTACATAGTTGTTTTTTTATCAACTTCATTCTTATTAAAGCAAATTTAAACAAATTCAATATTGTCAAAGAATGTAGGTTAGAACGTGGTATCAATGATCTTTTGATTGACTTGCCTTAGCAACACGTTGGTCTTACACAGTTTCAGACCAACTTCTATTAAATGAATTAATGAAAGTGAACTGCAGCTGTAAAACCCTAACAAAGATTAAAAGTTTCTTGGAAAACAGATACCAACGAGTTAAAAACAATCTAATTACTCCAATATCACAATCAATAAAAAGAAGTATTCCACAAGGAGGTGGCTTCTGTCCTCAAGTATTTAATTTTTTTTTTTTTTTATTGTTCTTTAGGAATATATTCTTAATGTACTCGAAGATAACAACAATCTAAGAATTAAGAATTGAAAACATAAACAACTATAAATAAAAAAATAAAAAATAAATACATAGATGCGTTATAAAGTTTTAAGATACATAGATAATTTATACAGTTTTAAGACATTTAACAAAAGTGTTTATATTGCACGAAAGAAAAGTTTTTTTCTTGGAGCACAAAGTCTGTGAAAATGTGACAATCAATGGATTGAAGTTTTTTACTATTTTGAAAACAATCATGTTCTTTACAATACTTTATTAAATTGGTGGAAACTGCTTTATGTTTGTCAGTTACAAATGCTTCCTTAGAACGAGAACTTTTGATTGCCAAAGATATTTAGCCTGAATGGAAATCCCAATTTACAATAAAAACTTTGGCAGTATTTTGTTTGTTAATTTGAAAAAAAATGATAAAAAGGACATTTTTTCAAAATTAAAAAATATTAAAAAATGCAAAACTTGTTTAACGTTTTTTTCATAATTTAGTTTCATGCACATTACATTTTAGAATAACAAAACTTTCAATTTTTAATATTTGTTCAAATTGGTTGTTAGAAACCCATTTAAATTCCATAAATTGATTTCTTGCTAGTGTCTAGCATTTTTTAGAAATGGTCATATAATAATTTTTTAAGAAGCGCAGGAAATTTGCAAGTGCATTATATGGTTTTCCATTTCTGTGCGTAATTTTCTATTTTTCTAAATTTTTACAATTAAAGGCCTGGGACTTTTAACAATATGCGTACTGTTATGATTTTCTTGAAGAACAATTATAACAAATTTTTTTTTCATAAAATTGACAAACTTGCAACTTCCGTGCGTGACTTCGATGCTTTATTCATGAACTGCATTTAAACTATTGCTGTGACGCTATGATACATCGTCCCATCTCGTAGCTTTCTGAAAATCTTTACGAATATCTCAAATGTTATTTAAAGAAAAATTACTGAACTTTATATCCTCCGAGGATATAAAGTTCAGTAGTTTTAAGCTTCAAACTTAATTTATTCTTTAAAAACAATACTAGTGAATACTTTTTGTTGTTTACAAAATATTTATATATATTAGAATTAAATGAGAGTAAATTAGAGATCTTCAGTTTTATTTTTATGAAAATAATAGACAAAACATATAGGAATTTCCATGCGTAAATTTTTAGAAATACTATTGTGTCACCCAGAATTAAAAGAAATATTCACAGTCACTGAAAGCAATTCCATCAGAATAGGAATTTCCAAAAACAAAAGTTTTTGAAAATTCCTAACTAACAATTCCAATTAACAGCTAAATGAAAGAGTTAAGCAACCGTAGAAGAAGGTTTTAATAAACTAGGAAAAAAATCAGAAATAAATGACATTGCATGCGTTTTAAACAGTTTTAAAAAAAATTGTTCACTACTTTTAACACGAAACATATCCATCAGATATCGAGAATAAACAAAAAAATAATTTTAAACTCATTTATCTCACTTGTTTATCTCACTATCTAAATCTGATTTTTGTAAAGCAACATTTTATGTTAGCCATAATTGGTTTGTGTGTAAGTGAATATTTTGTTAACTATTAGTCTAATATGTATAATATATATCTTTATTAACAAGACTGTTTATTAAAAATAATATTGTATGTTGAAAATTAAAAAAGATTGATTAATGAAAAAAACAAAGTACCTCTTTGATTGATATATTCTTTTAGCTGAACGTTACAAATTACAGAAAAACTTCCATTTCCATCAGGATCAATCATATACTTGCCAGTGGTTTGTTGACCAGAATCATAAATTTTTTGACAGTTTTGAAAAACAGCAACAGCTACAACATATAACACAAACTTTATAAAGTATATATACTTTATAAAGTTTATGTAGTCTATAGGCTACACAAAGCGTTAAATGTTGTTTAATGTGTAATAAAAAAATCTGAATTCAGAGTTTATAAACAATTTTAGCTTTTTAAATTAATGCTTCAATTTAAAAAAACCGAGTTGTTTTCATTGTGGAATTTTTTTAGATGATAGATATTTACTTATTAATAGTAATATCGGTGTTTTGTGTTTCATAAAATTTTTTCTCTTTAAAAAAATATTAAAAAAAAAAAAAGTTTATAATGGAAAAAAAAAAAAAGTTTATAATGGATTTTTAAATAAATATGCTTCTGCTTCTTCTTTTTTATTTAACTTGCAAACTTTTTTTTTTTTTGCTTAAAAAGTTGGCAATTTAATGGAAATATCTTCTATTTCGTGTAATGCTAAATATTTATAGTCTTGTGCAACTTCTAGCATTTATTATATTTTAATTTTACAATAACATAATAAAATATTAATTTCAGATTTAATTTTAGATTAGTCATTAAATTATAGAAGTTATAATAGTAATTAGTAATAAATAAAATAGTCTATAAAAATGAGTAAAGCACAATTTAGGTCAACGGAAAAGAATTTTTTATTATATTTTTTATAATACAAGTGGAAAAACCTGTATATAAAAGGAAGAAGTGCAAGTTACACTTGCACTGCTTCCTTTTATTGCAGAAGAGATATTTTTATTAATGCTAGAATTATACTAATGAGCCGCTAGTCTTTGAAAATTTTGTTAAAAACTGAATAAATTTCCGAAAGAAATGGAACTCTTCAACACCAAATATATAACCAACAATGATAGTCTCCACCATTATTAAATATTGTTGCTTTTCCCCCTGAAAATTTTCAAAATTATTAGACAGTTGTAATGGATGTCTTTTGTTGAAAGTCAAGAGAAACATAGTTGAATAAAGTTTTTGATTTTTATGGTTTTCTTCTTTCGTTCTTAAAAAAAATCGGTCTCCTTCCAACCTTGGTACAACATAAAGTCTTTATCACTTTTTGTTTGTTTTGTTTTTTTTTCAGAAAATTAATTTAAAAAGTAATTTCAAAAATACACATTGTAAGATACATAAAAAAGAAAACTTACCTTTAGTGCAATCACATTGATAGTTTTTTCCGACACCACAGCTATCTCTGCACTCGCAATTTCCGCATATTTTAATTATGTTTAGAATTCTGCACTTGTCACTACAAATATCCTAAAAAAATACTTGAGTATTATAAATTTTTTACCCATCAATATTTTTAATTGCTAGAAAAAAATCTTATCTTAAATTTTTATTCCCCAATAATAAAAAACATTAGTCAAAGCACACCAGGATTACTTATTTAGTACAATTGTTTTGAATGTACATCAACGTTTTTAATCGATTCTAGCATTAAAAATCAAGGTATGAAAACAAGGTAGAAAAGCATAATTTTTTACTGCTGCCCTAACCAAAAAGTCAAAGTATATACATTTTATTGCGCATTTTTATAAATAAATTATTTTATATATTCACACTTTATTTTATAAAAAATATATTTTTGAAACTTGAATGGGAAGTAAATGTCATTTTTATTCTTTTTTTTTTTATTGGTAAGTTTGTTTTTCAATCAACTCACCAATAAACATCCTAACAAGGTTACAAACAACAACTATTTAAGATAAGCTGACAAAAAAATAAAGAAAAATAAACACAAAATAAACGCTTGACGAAAGGCTTAAAAGATTTTTAATTGTATTGGATAAGAAAAAAACTTTTTTTCTGGGAAATAAATGAAACTTCTTTGAGGTGAAATTCAGCAGCCACTGTCAGCCCCCAACTATCACAGAAAAAAGAGCATATTTAAGATTGGCTTTCTGTTTTAAGAAATCAAAAAACTATCACTTTTTATCAAGTCTGGAGTATATAGTATATGGTCATATTTTTGCATATAAAGCATTAGTTTAATCTTTGCAATTGCTAGGTAAGAATATCAGAAAGATTATTTATATTAATAAGACCATGAAACCCTAGAAAATACTGAAAATGAATGAAGTATTTTCCATCAGGTACGACTTCAAAACTAAGGTTATTAAGGATTGATTCAATAGTTTTTTAAATTGTCAGATGCACCTTTTGAAGTGAGTTTATCAAAAAGACTAGCATTCCAGACTTGATTAAAAAGCCTTCTCTGTGGACAACAGCCTCACTACTTCCATATATATTACGTTTGAATTTTTCTGTTACCAGTTAACATATCAGAAGTGCAAAGAAAGGAATAAATTAGTATTATTAAAAAGTAAGTTATAAGATACAGCAATCTTTATACTTTTGTAAATTAAAGGCTCAAAACACTTTTCTTAATAAAAGATACAAAATCTTAGAAGATTATTTGTGCAAAAGAATTTAAACAATCTCCAGCGTTTTTAAAAAAAAACAGCTGTATGTAACACACAGATGTTACCTACAGATGTTGTCTATCATCATCTTTTAAAGTAAAGTTAAATACAAGATCTTCAAAGCAGCCCCTAATACCAACACATCTTCCACCACTTTGTAACCTCGATACAATATTAGTTGTAACAATTAATATACTTTTTTGATTTAAATATTTTTACAAGAACTTTTTTACTTCTACTTTTTACTTCAAAGTTTCTTTTCATTACTGAAAATTAGTTGCTTCCACTTTTTGAAATACAATCTAATACTCTTCTTACAACACCATAATCTTGTGAGTTTTTAATCTTGGGTTTTCTAATTACCAAATGAACGCAAATGTTTATACAGCCATTAGAAAATATTTTTGTACTGTATTTGAATAAAAAGATTTTTATACGGTTTTTATTCAATGTATTACGATAAATTAAACTTGGGTTGACAAAATGTCTATTTGCGCTCCGTAACTTTTTTTAATTTTCAAAATCCTGGATGACGTTTGATGACACCAGTAATTTTAAATGTTTTTTTTAAATATTAACATTCATGTACTTTCAATTTTTTAAAGAAGTATACTCATCCAGTGTAACACAAATTGAGCTTGTTGTAGACTTGTTAGTTGTAGAGAAATTGTTTTTCTGTCAAGACAAAAAAAATAAATCAAGTCTCAAGCAATATCGTCACTTTTTTATGACGTTTAAAAAAAATTGAACTAAATATTTTACTGCACCTGTTTTTTTTGGAAAGCACTGTCTATTTATTGTTACATAATTTTATAATTTATTTTTTTTCTTTTTTGAAGTTACCAAATAATAGTAAAGCTAATAATAGTGTGATCAACTGACTCCTTAATGCGTAAAAAAAACCTAAATGAGAAATCTAAACAAAGTTAAGTATTTTAATAGGCTATTCTACGTAAAAAAGAGGACTTTGATCACGTAAATAATAATAAACTTTATTTACTTGTCCTTTTCTAACTAAAAATGCAGTCTTGTTTGTTGAGTACTCTAAATTGATGTCAACATTTGTATTATTGTCAAAGTATTTGCATTCATAAATTGAGTTTTGCTGAACAATTGAAATAGCAGAACATTGACCCTCATTCATTTTGTTGCAAGTGTCAATGCATGAAGTATGTTTTTTTTGCACTTCAATTTTTACTGGGTTTAAACCACTTGAGAAGAATCGATTGGAAAAGAGATATAACTTGTCATTACTTTTTGAAGAAAATACTTGATGAGATGTTGACGATACAACTTTTATAAAGCATAATAATATTGATACAAGAAATTTATGCATTTTTTCACTCTAACTTTTTTGATGACTTTAGGAAAAGAAAATCTCAAAAAAACTCAAATGAAATATAGAACTTCACAGACATGAAACTATGGCACACCAAAAACATCAACGTTCTTTTAACTTTAAACTTATTTTCAAAGCTTTTCTGCGCAGTTAATACCTAAACTTGGTATTTCGTTGTTGCAAACGTTGCCATCGTTATAATTTATAAATTAAAACTTATAACTTAAGATTATTGACAACTTGTGATTTATTATTAAAAATTTTTATCTATATGTTCAAAGTAAATTATATATGTAACCGCTGTTAAAAATGAATTAATTATTTAAATAATTTCGGAAGTCAGCATTTTTTTTTTACAATTCAACATTTTTTTTTTATCAAATACTAAATAAATTAGATTAATTCATTGTAGGTGAATGTGATATTGAAGACAAATTCAATACACCTTATCAGTTTGGAAATGCTATAAAAGGAGATAACAAAGCTATAAATTATTTAACAATGCTGCTATAAAGGAGATGAAATTTAAAATGAAATTGAAAATTTGATAAATATTCGGTCAAAACTTAATTATTTTGCATTAACCAAATAATCTTCAAATGTTCTTATCATAAAAATAGATGCAACGATATCTCTTATTGATGATTTGCTTAAAAAGGACTTTATATTTGTTTTCACTTCCAGGTTTCAATTAGGGTTGAGTTTTTACTATATATTTGCCGGTAAACCGGTAAAGCTGTTTTACCGATACCGGTAAAAAAAGCTGTTTTACCGATACCGGTAACCATTGCGTCACGACCGCTCGAAACCTTGAAAATCCATTTTTATTTCTGGATTCATGGTTTTGAAAGCAACAAGCAATTCCTTTAAATTACATAAGAGTAAAAATTTTGCATGTGAACATTTTTCTTTAAGCCTACATAGTCCTTTTTACTAGGCATTATACGGCTATATAGCCGTATAATGCCTAGTAAAAAGGACTATGTAGGCTTAAAGAAAAATGTTCACATGCAAAATTTTTACTCTTCGTGATGCTCCTTGGGCTGATGTTTTTTCTCTCTCAGCTGATAAATGCGCCTCCTACGTAACCTCCTGGATTCAGGCTGGAACGGAAGCTTTTATTCCTTCTCGTCGGTTTCAAGTCAAGCCTCATTCTACTCCATGGTCTTCTCCTTCTTGTGCGGCTGGTATATCCAATCGTAATCATTTTTTTCATCTTTTTCAAAAGAACAACTCTCTTAAGAACAAACGGCTATTTACTATTGCAAGAAATCGATGTAAAAAGGTGCTTTCTGATGCTAAACTCCATTATTCTAAGTTCACTAAATTTTACATCTTATCACAGAAGTTAGGCTCTAAAGACTTTTGGAAAATCTTCAACAGCATTATTAACAAGGGTAGATCTAACATTCCATCTCTCATTCATGGAACTGATTTTATTACCTCTCCCAAGGATAAGGCAGAAATATTTGCAAGGAACTTTTCTTCTAATTCCACTCTTGAATCTTATGGACATTCTCATTCCTGTCACAGTCTTGCAGTTTCTAAACAATTTAACAAGTGATTGACTCTTGTTTTTCTGCTTGTTGGAAAATGGGATCTGCGGTTTCAATATTCAAAAACTCTAGAGAAAATTCTGACTCCTCCAATTATCGTCCGATCAGTCTTCTTTCTGTTATTAGCAAGGTCTTTGAGTCTTTGATCAACAAATTCCTCACATCTCACCTTGAGTCAAATAAACTACTGTCAGACAATCAATACGGTTTTCGATTCTCTCGCTCTACGGCCGACTTGCTAACTGCTGTAACTGAAAGATTTTATCGTGCATTAGATGGAGGCGGTGAGGCTAGGGCTATTGCTCTTGACATATCTAAAGCTTTCGACAAAGTTTGGCATGCTGGTCTTTTCCATAAGCTTGCTTTAAATGGTGTTTCTGGGAAAGTTTTTGAGATTATCAAATCATTTCTTTCTAACCGGTTTATTAAAGTCATCCTTGAAGGCCATCACTCTTCTTTATTTCCAGTAACTTCTGGGGTTCCCCAAGGTTCCATCCTGGGCCCTGTTTTGTTTCTTATCTACATAAACGATCTTCCTGACAACCTTTCATCTAAAGTAGCTCTTTTTGCTGATGACTCAACTTTATACTCCTGTCTTGACAAAAATTCTTCTCTTTTCGATCGCCTAGAACAAGCAGCTGATCTTGAATCCGATCTCACTTCAGTAATAGATTGGGGTTCACAGTGGCTTGTGAATTTCAACTCTAACAAAACCCAGTTGTTTACTGCAAACAACTACTGTAATATGGTCAACATTCCTATATTAATGAATGGCAATCTTTTTACTGAGTCCTCCTCCTCTTTACGTCTTCTTGGATAATCGCTTACTATTGACCTTTCATGGAAACCATATATACAATCGATTGCTAAATTAGCTTCTGCTTAAGTTGCTTCTCTTTATCGTGCTCGCCATTTCCTTACTTCTGAATTCATTCTCTACCTCTACAAATCTCTTATTCGTCCCTGTATGGAATACTGTTGTCATATTTGGGCTGGTTCTTCTAACGAGTCACTTTCTCTTCTTGACAAGGTCCAAAAACGCATTGTAAATGTTGTTGGACCTGGACTATCTGCTAAGCTTGAGCCTCTTTCTCATCATCGTAAAGTTGCATCTCTTTCTCATATCTACAAATGCTATTATGGTCACTTCTCAAAGGAGTTATCATCTCTAGTTCCATCAACTAAAATTCATTCTCGTTTTACTCGTCATTCAGCTAAGTCTCATTCGTTTACTGTATCTGTCCCTGCACGCTCTAAAAACTTTTATTCATCTAGTTTTTTTTGACGCACTTCAATCCTTTGGAACTCTCTCCCATCTTCATGTTTTCCTGACTCATACAACCTTCAACTTTTCAAGTCTTCTGTCAACCGTTTCCTTGCTCTATAAATCTGTTCTTTTTTTTCCTAGTAACTCCCAACTTAATAGTGGTTGCTTGCAGCCTTGTTGGGAGTGAATGCAAATAAAAAAAAAAAAAATTATGTCGGTAAGTTTCTATAAATAACAATTTTTAATATCATAACATAGGTAGTAACCTATAATAAGTTATAGTAGTATAGCTATAATAGTAACCTATGAAAAATTGACAACAAAAAGCTATAGCAGAATCAAAAAAGCCAAAGATTAAATTTTTTTTTTAAAGCAACTAATTTAAGAAGTGAATTCAATACTTAAAGCATTGATGGATTTAGTTTCCATGCCATTGAAACAGCTTTCTCATTCAATCTGGTATGTGTGAAAAAGGTCATGATTTTCCGGATAATTCCAAGCAAGCAATTCATTTGATTTAAAAGTTTTCAGATGATGTGAGAAATGACCGTGAATGAAATAACACTTTCAAATTATTAGCGAACATTTAAAAACGCTTTTCAATTACCTTAGATGAGTACAATTCTTTAAAAAATTGAGGGTACGTGAATAATAATAATCATCAAAAACTCAAAATTTTGGATCTCTTCCGGCTGAAAAAGCTGGAGCAGTTATCACAGAAAAAGTGACAAAATGCAAAATGCAAATGCATTTTGCCACTTTTTCAGTTATCACAGAAAAAGTGGCAAAATGTATTGTCTGCTCATTCATGGTTGAAACTTCCATGATGGTTAAGTTTGGAAAACTGTTTCTAACTGAGCATCAAATGTGTTACACCCATGAAGTGTATTTGACAGTTCAAGAAGTATTGTACGAGAAGGCTTTCCGAAAAACCGATCATAGCACATTGCAAGTAACAAGCAAATGAGATGAAGTCAGCAGTGACAAATCCGAATCTGACACCAAAGTCATTTCTTGATGATTTCAGTAATAACAACATTTCTATTCCAAAAGTGAAAGTACACTTGCAATCTGTCATCTCAAAGTCAGAAAAATTGTTATTTCAAAAATCTCCAGTTAAAAATGACGTCCTCCAAAAAGATATCAAGAAATAGCACGGAAATAAGGTTTCGCTTATTCTTGACTGTAGAACAAGAAAAAACAGTCAAGTGTCAATGGCTTAACAGTTTTTCCAAGATAAAGGATCAATAAGACAAGTATTGAAAAAAGTTTCTCCACATTTGGTTTTTTTAGTGATGATAGAGTAAAATTTTTATACAACATTGTTGCTGCTATTGCACCAGTCAAATTGGAAGCAAAAGCTCTTTGCCGACAGGATTCAACTCTTCTTACAGCCGAGGGAATTTTTAAGTTTCTTGTAAAAAGACTGAACCAACGAGATTAAACTCTTTGGATTGCAATAAAGAATGCAGTTTTGAGTCGTTTTTAAGAAAGACAGAGCAATGTAAACCTTTACAGATACATTTCTATTCCAGAATGTTTACCCAGCATTAATGAACACAGAGTTTTTGAGTGGCTTTGTCTATCTTTCTTCAAAAGACTGCCAAATATTTGCTGTCTGGGTTTTTCAAACGAATCCAGATGACTTAGAATTCATTCAAGAAGTGTGTGGATAATAAAGTCTCAACGCAAATCCCCTTTCACTTAAAAATAACTCGAGGATAGAATTCAGCATTCGGGCAAAAAATAGCACCACAGTTCAAACAACAAACTCAAAGCCATTTTAGAAGAAATCTTGGTCTGTGAAGCTACTAAACAAAGCTGCTAATCTTGAACCTTTATTCAATACATTAGAGACTTGTTTTGTTAAATACACTTAAGAATGGAGATCTCTCGAAAAAGTCTTCAGCCTGAGCAAAGCTTTTCTGCTGCTAAACTATTTATGACAAAAATTTGACCTAGAATGAAAGACGATTTACTTAATTCACTTTTTCCTCAAAGCTATTTTTTTATCAATATAACAATTATTAGTAAATATATTAGATCTGAATTATTATTATTTCTATAATAATTCAGTTTCTATGATATTTGATGATTGAGAAGAAATTATTTCTATGATAATTGAGTTTCTATGATTGTTTCATTATTTTTAACTAATTTTACTGATATTTACCAGTAAATTATGCTTTTTTTTTTTAATACCGAAACTTTGGTAACAGGTGACAAAAGAAAAACTAGACTGGATTTAAAGACATATTTTCTATGAAGTAAAGTAAAAGGTATTTTTTATGAGGTAGAACAAAAAGTAAAAATATTTTAAAATTTTTATTCTAGTTTTTAAGCATTTTATGTGTTTTTATTTTTTATAGAAACATTAATAAAAAAATAAATTTAAGATAAGAAGAGATTTGAAAATGTGTGTATGAATTTTATTTAAATGATCGAAATGTTGGTAAAACGTTTATTATGACCACTTCAAAACTGAGAATATACCTAAAAGTACTATTTACAAGATTATTAAACGTGCCAAAAGTGAATCTGGTTACCTAAGAGTTCACGGAAGTGGATGAAAGGTTAAATAAATGACCAAGACAAACATTAGGAGGCTCAAGTTTGTATTTGACCATAAAGTTTCTCAACGACAGGCAGCAAAAAAATTCAACATGTACTCAACAACACATAAGTAAAGTATTAAAAAAGGAAACAAAAATTATTTCAAGAAAAAAAACGACAAATCCAAGCCGTTCTGACCAGCAAAAAGCATTTGCTAGAACTACGTGGGAACGACGCACTACGTAGAACGACGTTTGTATCAGAAATTCAAAAATCTTAAATCGATCATTAATGACGAGTCTTATTTCACGTTAAATCACTCCAATATCAATGGAAATGATATTTTTTATACTAACGATCTGAAATATACTCTATGAACATTTATGTACCTATTAAAACAAAAGTTTCAAAAAAAAATTACTTCTATGGATTGCTTTTTCTGAAAATGGCATTTCTCAGCCCTATTTTGTGCCTTATGCTGGCTGTAAATCAAAAAAATCTACTTAAACAAATGTATTAAGAAGAGACTCATTTCATTCACCAATTTGGCATTATCTCACTATGCAAAAACAGTATTCACGTTAAACTTTATTTATTAGTTAAGGTTTTTTTAGAGCTTCGACTCTTGTGTGTTTTTTGGTGCTTTTGTTTTTTGGTTATTTTTTGTTTTTGGCTCTTGTTTTTTTGGTGTATACGCATTTATGTGTATATGCACATTTGCGTAGTTATATACCACAATAACCTAAATCTAGGATATCTATCTTATTTTTGTATATTGCTTTGCATATATATGATTGTGTAGTAAATCAAAAATCCAAATAATTTATTGGTACAAAAGTTTAAAGGGCTTGCAGCACTTAATTCGACAAAAAGAGAAAATGGTTAGATTTCTTGTCCACAATGCCAAAGGTTACTGATTGCATTCGTGCACACATTAAACTTTACAACAGAGTTTTTTAGCCTTTCTTTTGTTTTTCGTTAATGCTTTGAGATAATAATTTATTGTAAATCACTCTACGTTGCTCGTTTGTAAGTTCATGCGTATCTCTTTTATTCATTTTAATATAATCAAAACACATTTGAAATCTTTTTAAACCATAACACTGTCTGTTTCTAAGTTTATTTTTGTTGCAGTATATGCAATAAGAGAGCTAGCAATTAAACTTCTAACTTTATTTGATACATGTAAAAAATAAATTCTGCAGTTTGTTGTTTTTAAATCTGCAGATTTAAAAACAACAAACTGCAGAATTTTTTTGTTACATGTATCTAATAATATAATAAAGTCATCTATTATGCATTTGAACTAAATGGTTTTGACCACTGTTAAATAATTTAAAACATAATGAGAATTTTTCAAAAGCCATTACTATATATAATTCTTTTCCACTAAAATTGTTACAATGTTATTAAACTTTTAAGTTTATAATTCATTTTTAACAAACCGGAACAGGATTTTAGAACAAAATATTTCATTAAAAAAACCAGCCTTTTTAGAAAATATTGGCGTATAAATAAAATATTGGTAAAAGATAATACCATTTGCCATTAGTTGTTTATAATATTATAGAAAAACATCTAAATTTTATATAAAAAATGTTTTTCATTAAAAACATTATTTATTTTCAATAATTCTTTACATTGAATTCAAATCGAAACAGGCTTTTGGAACAGAAGAGTAATATATATTACAATATAATATTTAAATAAATTGTAATTACTACAAACATATATATATATATATATATATATATATATATATATATATATATATATATATATATATATATATATATATATATATATATATATATATATATATATATATATATATATATATATATATATATATATATATATATATATATATATATGTTATTGGAATAAACTGAAGGAGGCAACCAGATTTGATAAGTTGAGATTAAAAGAGTATCATTTTTATTAATGGAGATTAACAGAGTACTATTTTCAAAAATTGAGATTAAAAGAAATTAAAAATGGAATTTATAATTCAATCTAAAAAAACATTATAAGAGATCAAAACAAACATTAAAGACCTGGAAATGTTTTTTACAGCCTACTTTAAAAAATTTAACTAAAAAATTTTTACATTCAACTTCATAAAAATAACTGGAAAGGTTTTTTCGCAAACCTGAATAATTACTATATTGCAAACGCTATTTTTTTAATATGATCTATTTTGCATTAATTTAATCTAAACTATTTAAACTAAACAAATTTTTACTGCAGGTGATAATTTTTACAGCTAGTGATGAAAGGATTTTTCAAACGTTTTTAAAACTTGTGTTTGAATCTTTTATAAAATTACTGAACCAATGCTCAAAATGAACTAATATTTCATAATATTGCTTTTACTATTTTGATCACGTGTTAAAAATCTTTCATTATTCAGTTATAAAACAGTATAAAAATCTTTTAAATTTCAGACATTATGTTGAATTCAACATGAATGTTAGGATCAATTAATGAATGCCAGTTTCAAATGTATCTGTTAACAACCGTTTACTATATTATCATTATAATTTAGTAAAAGGTTGTCCGTTACTATATTCACTATATCTCGTTTAAACCAATTTGTTTAAAAACCTGGACCAAATAACCATTTTAAAATACGAAATTTTTAGTAACGTTATAAACTCCATATAACGTTATAGACTCCAGCTACATGTAATGCTGGATCAATATTAAAAATCACGTTATAACAAATTTTTTCGGAATTTTTTAGATAATCATAATGTTCACGAATAAGTTCTAATAGTCTTGAAAAATTTTGATAAAATGTTTGATAAATAAAAGACTTTTTCAACTTGATTGTTCTTATTCAATCGGTAACAAATCTAAAATCATCAGTTATTATTATAGTGTATAATTGTAGTATATTAGCGATATTTTTGAACTTTTATTCGCACTAATAAAATACTTTTACTATCACAATGCTGTTACTTTTTACGACAACTTTTTTCTTAGTAGTAATTTATAATTTAAATATTTATGAGCAAATTTTTGCTCAAATGTGGAACATTGTTCCTGATTTATATTAAGATTGATAAGCATTTATATAAGAAAATATTTAAATTTTAAAATTATTTAAATTTTAAATGCATACAGTGCATTTAACTTCTAGTTTCTATGGTAGTAAAAACTTTTTTTAAATTTGAAAGTTTTAATGCACAATAAACATAGACGGGTCTGCAGGTCTGCAGGTCGTGTCTACGGGTCTTGCCTGTCATGCTCAGGCATGAACAGCATTTAATCTAATTTATATTAAAAATTACTATAGCGATCTCTACATAATAATATGCTACTTACTAGTGTTAGCAGTAGTGCTGTTAGTGACCCTTCCTGCGTTATTTGATACGGAGATTTTCAAAAGCGCGAAAAAATCACCGAACAGAACTTTAATTATAAAAATGGATGGGAAAGACTTTCTTAGATATTTCCGCGGTTTAATATTTCAAAATACAAATGTAAAAATACTTGGGTAACTAAATAATTAAAAAGGCTTTATAGAAAGCCTTTTTAATTATTTAGTTACCCAAGTATTTTTACATTTGTATTTTGAAATATTAAACCGCGGAAATATAGTACATATTTTTTTAGGGGGTGTTGGGGGTGCAAGAACCTACTACCCCTGATTATGCCACTGTTAATCACGACCTGCAAATAAGGTCTAAACACGCCTATGACAACAAGCCAAGTTTTATTAAAGAATAAATTTTAAAATTTAGAAATGTAAGGAAATTATTTTGTATCGAATAAATACAGAGTAATTTATAAAATAAATAGAAGCTTTCTTCTTGTTTATTATTTACCAACAGCTCTACATGTTGAAAACAACGAGCATTTTACTGGCTCACAATAAGCTGGAAGCTTAAATACTTCATCTGCGTTTTCAATAGTTGTCGTGAACGAACTTGGATCAAAATCTTGAATGTCATTTGGTACCTGATTGATTTGGAGCATCACACGACCAGCTGTTTCAAGGTAAAAGTTATCTTGCAATCCTTTTTGGTTCCATTTAAAGTTTCCGTCTACAATGCCAAGATATGTTGCATTTTGTAACCATGTTGGTTTTAATACTCCGCATCCGTGTTGAGCATCGCAGCACCTTATATATAACAATAACAACAAAATTAATAGAAAACAGCAAAAAATTATAAAATAAAAAAACTAAAAAATTTATAAAACTGTGAAACTTTAGTTCTAAAATCAAATTTGGAAAATAAAAATGTTTAAAAACTTATAATTTAATTTCTTTCAAAATGAGAAATTAGATTAATACCTACTTAAACAGATAAGGTTTATAAGATAAGGTTTATAAACTCATTCAAACAGTAAATGTAGCAAATATTTTACTAAATAAAGAAGATCCTACGAATTAATCCTGATTAATTAATACGATATCATGTCTAATCACAATTATAATTGATTTGGCAATCAAAGTTAAAAAAGGTATTGTATTAGCATAACATACACGTTTAGTATTTTTTGCCAAAATTTAAAATTTATAAAAAAAAATTTGGAATAAAAAAAGTTTTTATTAAGGATGTTTTAAAATGAGAGCTGGTAACTAGCAAAGAATGAAGTTTAATATTATTCACAAGACTTGCGAACAGTTTTTTTTTTTATTTTTGGAAAAAAAAAACATTTATTATTTTATATTTCACTAAAATAAACATGGACTTTATATATAAATTCCACATTTCAATTTTCAAAATATTATAATAAAATAACACTGAATTAAAATATTTTTAAATAATTACAATTTTCAGAGGGGCTCCAAGATCCTCAAAAATTACAGGATCCCTAATACTATAAAGAATAATGTTTTTCAGATGTAGATCAATCTGATACTCAAAAATGTTAATTGTTTCATATAAATTTCATATAATTATTAATTAAGATTTTATTGCATAAAAACTGGTATTTTTAACAAAAAAAAAATTAAAAAAATGCTTTTGTACAAGTTTCCTAATGATATATATGTATATATATACATATATATATATATATATATATATATATATATATATATATATATATATATATATATATATATATATATATATATATATATATATATATATATATATATATATATATATATATATAAATATATATATATAAATATATATATATATATATATATATATATATATATATATATATATATATATATATATATAAATATATATATATATATATATATATATATATATATATATATATATATATATATATATATATATATATATATATATACAGATATATATATATATATATATATATATATATAAATATATATATATATATATATATATATATATATATATATATATATATATATATATATATATATATATATATATATATATATATATATAATATGTTTTTTTACTTTTTTAGAAGATTCTTATTTTAAAATTTTTTTAATATAAATTCAATTCGATTATTTTTTTAAACTAGTGTTATTTTATTATATTGATTTAGGGCAATTACAAAGCATTTTTTTAATTGTTTTTTGATCCAACCTAATGTTTATGCAAAGTTCTGAAAAGGAAATCTAAATGATTCTATATAAAGCATCAATAATAAAGATGAACATTAAACCTAAAGAAATATTTTACAATTTTAAGTGCGTATGATTAAAGATAATTGAAATATCTCATAATTAAAAATATATTCAAAAGAAAACCTTTTACTTGTAGTTAAGAAATGGAATTAAATGTTTCTTAATGAATCGCAAAACTCTTATATTTCACACATTCCTATCTATACAGTTAAGTTTTTTTGTAACTTAAAACTGGCTTTAACCAATGGTAAAAACAATGACGTAATTAAAATTTTATTTATACTGTAAAAAACGAATTAAGCAAAAAAAGTGAGTTATAGGCCATACAATACATATCAATTTATAATAAATAATATAAAACATACTGTTTACACGCGTTACAATATAAACTTTTTTTTTTAAGTTAAAGAAATCCTAAAAATTGTTTTTTTTTATTCAGTTATGTATGACCTTTGCTAATTAAAGATCACACGATAGGAGAAACAATGTCAATAATCAATCTAAAAATAAAATTAGTTTTAAATATTTTTATTTGTTAGGAATAAATACAAATTTAATAATCTATTAGAATTAATAAATGCAAATACCCTAAGCACACCAAATTTGGAATAAAATAACCCATTAAATGCAATTTAATAGGTTATTTTAATCGGTCAACACGAAGTGTGTAGATTTTTAAAGTATTCATTTTAAGTTTGCAAATTTTTATATGTATAATCTATAAAAGACTTGTAAATCTTAAGAAGACTTAAATCGATATTCTGAAAAATAAACTTTCAATTTTAAATACCTTTGCAAATATTTACGTGAATGATATTTAAACTAACTTACTGACAACATTCTTTCAAATCTGGATATATCAGCCATCTCTGTCCTTCAAGTACGAGTTGAGTGCATGGAGTGTCTTTAAATGCTTTGTTTCCATTAAATCCGCAGTATCTATCATAACGTCCATTTTCACGATCAATGCGATATCGTAAATTAGCGTAGTCGTAATAGTAAACACCTTTCGTATTGTGTGTACCAATGACAGGATAATAAAAAGTTTCTTTAAACGTTTGCATAAATGTGTTTGGCCATAATGGGTCGCTTGGCTTGTCTGCAGAACACCCAATAGCGATAAAAATAACTAAAATTAAATTCAAAAAATGTTCCAACGGCGACATTCTGGCAACGTTCTAAAGACGGTATAGAATTGCAACCACCAAAGGTTATATAAGATTTATAAAAACACCTGCTTAGCTTAAGCAGTTTAAATAAACATAGTTTTTGAACTGTTATTCACCTTAATATTGGGATTGATAGTTAGTTTAATATAAGTTTTGTTATATTTTTTTTTTACACATAAAAACCAGCTCTGAGAATTAAAAAACGTCAATATCTACTGTAAACAATAACAAACGCGCCACATACTAAAGTGATCATTTATTTTAAAAGTAACCAGTATTATTAATGTTTCAGTAAAATAAATAAATAAATGATTTTAGTGATAATATTTGAAACAATTGAAGAAAACAAAACAATATTTAATCAAACTAATAAAGTAACATCCGATTAAGAAGTCCAGAAAAATATTAAAAAATACCCAAAATAGCAGATAAAAAAGTTTCAATGTCGTGAGTTTAACGTAATTAAATAAAAAAAGTAAATAATGTTTTTTTCAAACAGTTTATTTTATTTTAACGCAATATGAATCTAATTAAAACTTGCTAATACAGCAGAGAAACATTATTTGCTGGTAAAAAAAACTTAAAATAAGCATAGTCTTTATATAGAATATTTTTATAATTATTTTTTTTAAATAGAAAAAACAAATCACTAACCTCTTGATCTGTAACCTCTTGATTTAACCTATTATATTTTGCAATATTCTTTTCAGTAAAGCGCAGTCTACATTTCCTAGATACACTATTGGTAAATAATTGATTTTAATTTTATTAATTAAAATTAGGATCAAGATAAGGTTTAGTTTAAAGGCATCTTTTCTTTTTCTTAGCGACAAGCTCATACTACCGCACACCGATTTTTATGGTGCCTTATCTTAGTAAACACAAAAGAAAAAATTAGAGATTTTTACCTTAGGGAAAGATATAACCTTGGTTAGGTATAATTTGTACCTTTTAAAGTAGAAAATTATACCTTTAAGATAAAAAATTGTATGATAAATCATTATTTTTAATATAATTTTCTACCTCAAAAGTTATAAAATTGTACTTTACTAAGGATATAGTACTTTTATATTTTAAGTCTTCTCTTATTTTCCACTATCTTTTTTGTGCACTCAAAACAAAAAATTGATATTCAAATAAAAAACTTTAAAAAAAGCTCAACTGGTCAACAAATAAAAAGAACGTTAGTTAGAACATTAGTTTGAATGAAAATAATAAAATAAAAAAATTATGGTTACAGAATAAAACTCTGTTATTTTATTAAAGAACACGACCATTGCACTTGCATTTAATGAGTTAGTTATCCGTATTCATAATGAAACATTTTTTTGTAATTTTGTTCGACATAAAGCCTTTTTTTAAAAGGAAAATATTTAAAAGCCTAACCCCAAAGTAAAGGTAGTTAAAACGCCCGTAGTTTTCACAAATAAGTTATATACTTTGCACAAATAAGTTAAATACTTTGCACAAATAAGTTAAAAACACCCTGTAATTTGGGTTTATAAATTTTAAAATCCGTTATTAATTTTTTAATTTTAAGAACTTTAAAACTATGTAGATCCGCCTTCCTCTTAAAAAACAAGTCATATGAGTACAAACAAGAAAGTTTAAACATTCTTGTATTAAATAAACAAATTTGTTGAATTTACTGCATAAATAGCGTTTATAGTTAAGTTATGCAAGTAAAAAAAAATAATGAAAAAAAAAAACATTTTAACATTAAAACTTAAAAAAAAAACTGAAAAAATGGTTTTTAAATGAACGAAAAAACTTTTTAAGTTAATGAATAAGAATTTTGTGATAATCAGATATTTTCTTTCTTTCTTTTAATAAACATAATATTTAAAAACTTTTGAAATTGTATATATGCATATACTATAAAATACACACACATATCTAAATACATATATACATATATATATTCGTAAGTGTATGTAAATACTAAGTATTTACATACAAAATATTACTATATAGGTATATATACATATATAGTAATATTTTGTACTATTTATACATCTACTATGCGCATGCGCAGAATTCTACACTGCTGCTATGTAGCATGAAAAGGTTAATTAGGGTGATTACGCGTAATTTCTGGCATTTCTGAGGGAAGACTCTAAGGTCAAATAAAATCATCAAGATACCCTTGATGCTAACCAGTCCTATACTCCTCTATGCCATCATAGGAGCAGTAGTTGCCTATGATGCCATACTTGTGCTTTTTTTTTTTAAATTAAAGATAACTATTAATTATATTGGAAATGTGAATCGCTTTTCGCACACTAAATTACTTTTTAATAAATTCAAAATACTTAACGTATTTCAACTTAACCTATATCATAATTTTATATTTATGTTCAAAGTAGATAATAAAATGGCACCCATTTTATTTAATTCATTTTTCGAAAAAATGAATCATTTATACCCAACAAGATTTTCAAACAACAATTATATTCAACCAAAAAAATATTATTCTGCGACTAGGTTCTCGATAGCAATCAGAGGACCTAAATTATGAACACCCTATTAGATAATGAGTTTAAAAAATTTCTTCCCTTCATCAATTTAAAAAAAAAATAAAAAGTAAACTTTTGATAATTGTCAATGAAATTGACTTTTTCTGAAACTTTTAAATAGGAGTAATCACTTGTTTTTTACTTGATATTTAATTTATTTTTAACATATTAATTTTTGATTTTAATTTGAATCTTTACCTTCTTAAATTATCATGTTTTATCTCATTTTTATTTACTATTAAAATTTGAAATCCTAATAATAAAAAAAAAAACTAAAAAAAAATATTAAATTTTAATGAAAAATATTTAGATATTTGTATTTATATATGTACCTTACGCATATATTATATTGTGATAACGGATTTTTTTTGGTTTTTTGGTTTTTTGTTTTGTTTGTTACTTATATTCTTGTTTGAAGGGGCTTGGCGATAAGACTGAATTTGTCTTCTTCTTGCCCCAGCCGTGTATATACAGTTTTTAAAGTCTAATTTTGTAAATATTTTCTTTATGACGAAATATATATTATATTATATTATGAAATTTTTACTTTTGTAATATGAGGTTTATGCACTTTTTAATGATATATAATAATGTAATGTTTATATTATTATTATTACAAAAATAAAACTGATGAAAACTCCTAGAATTATTATTGTTCTACATGTAACAAAGAATGTATCCATTCCAAAATTTTTGTTCCTGGTCTACAGGATACTAAATAATGAAGCTTTAAAGTTAGGTATGCCATCATAGGCACTTTTCCCCTATATATACCCAGGAAATAAGTTCTATAGAATTTTCTATAAACTTTTGAAACATATGGCCTATATAAATTCTATTGAATTTCGATAGAATTTCTGTTAACTTTTATAAAAATTTCTATAGAAATAATAGACATTCTATAAAAATTCTATAGAATTCCTATAGGCCATATGTTTCAAAAGTTTATAGAAAATTATATAGAACTTTTTTTCATGGCCCAGGAAAAAAAGTTTTATAGAATTTCTATAAAGCTTTAAAACATATGGCCTATAGAAATTCTATAGAATTATATAGATTTTCTATAGCATCTCTATTAATTTCAATAGAAATTCCAATAGCCTTTTTTTTTTATAGAAATTAATAGACATTCTATAAAAATTCTATAGAATTTCTATAGACCATATGTTTCAAAAGTTTGTAGAAAATCCTTTTTTCCTGGGTAGTAAAGTAAGTAGTAACAATATATATATATATATATATATATATATATATATATATATATATATATATATATATATATATATATATATATATATATATATATATATATATATATATATATATATATATATATATATATATATATATATATATATATATATATATATATATAAAGAGAGAGAGAAGGAGAGAGCTTTAATAAGACGCCATTTAATGCATAGTATTATAATCTGGAGAAACAGTTAACCTAAAAAAATGTGCAACTCAAATGCTCAAATGTCAAAAAAAGAAAGCGCTACAGATTAATGGTCCCAATGAGGTTCACAAAGATCTACCTTAAAAAAATGAAGTCTGTTCTCTTTAGATCAAGTATATCAAATGGCTATTAGAATCCAAGCACAGAAGATAAGTAATGGCTTTGCTTTATTATCATTATTTAACAATTTTAGTTGAGTTAACAATGATAAGTCATTGAGAGTTAACAGAAGAAAATCTCTTCCAAACTTCAAAAGTTACGTTTCGGAAAATCAAGCCACTATTAAAATTGCAATTAAATTTATTCCATTAAAAGATTCGGATTAAAATATTAAAACCCTTTTGCTTCTATACCATTTCTCCCATATTGAACTTTTGTAATTAATTCTTCTTCTTTATCTACAACTATCCACAAATTATCTATAAAGAATATCATGGAACACTTTTAAGATCTTCTAAAACAATAATAAAAAGAAAAGGACTGATCGCTGAACCTGAAACTCACCAAATTTTACCTCAAAACTATCGCTCTCTAAATCTTTTGTCTTGACTACTGCAGTGACATTTTTAAACATAGTCATTATAATTGTCACCATCTTAAACACCTTAATAAAACAAATCTCATCACGGTACCTCCCTTGGCACTCTATCAAAAGCTTTTATTAGATCAACATACGCCATCCTCAGATCTCTTTTCTTTTACAAAAATCTTTCTTGAATTTAAAATTAAATATCGCATTTGTTCCAATATTGTTTAAATTCGAGGTGTTGCAATATTATTTAAGTTCGAAGTGTTGCAATATTGTTTAAATTTGAAGTGTTGCAATATTGTTTAAATTTGAAATGTTGCAAAGTTGTTTAAGTTCGAAACATTGCAATTGCAATGTTGTTTAAGTTTGAAGTGTTGCAATGTTGTTTAAGTTCGAAATATAATTTTTATTTCAATTTTTATTCAGTTTTTGCGTTGATTTAATTTCTAATACTGACATTATTTATAAAATAATTCCTATGTCATTTTAAAATCAGTTCTCTTAAAAATAATTTCAGTTCTTATGAT